TGTACCTCCTCAGAGATCAGTGTCATCCAGCTTTATCTCCTTTATTGCCTTCTTTAAAAAAAATTTGTAGTTGTAGATGGAAAAAATGCCTTTATTTTATTTATTTATTTTTATGTGGTGCTATGGCTCGAAGCCAGTGCCTCACACATGCTAGGGAAAGTGCTCTGCCCCTGGGCTCCAGCCACAACTCCCCATTTGTTGCCTTCTTACTGTGTAACAGCTCAAATCACTGCCCACTTTCCATTGTAGGTTACTTTTTGAGGTAGGGCAAATGTGCTTCCCGGGACTTTGGCATTATGCCTCCTAGTCATTTGTACCTTTTCCACCTTCAGTTTCTCTTTTCATTGGATTCTTTCCTCTTCCACAAATATGTGTGAACCTCTTTTTCAACAAGCAAAATAAACACAAAACTTCCCATGATTCTGCTGTTGCTTCAGAGAGTATCCCATAACATCAACCAGAGCATCCCTTATCATCCACCCTGTCAACCTTCCAGCATCCACCATCAGGTCTTCTAATCATCCCTCTCTCCCTTCTCTCATCCAGAATTAGTTGAGTGCTTTCTCTGACTTTATTTTATACATGAGAAGACTGAGTTTCAGAGAAACAATAGGACCAACCAAGTCACAAAACCAAGTTTTCTCGTTGAAAGGCCTTTTACCTTTAAACTAGTTGGTAGGGTCACTGTTGACTTCCCAAATGCCAAACCCAGATGATACTTTTTAATTCTTATCTTACTTGATCTGTGTAACTTTTCAAATGGAGAAATTAAGGTTTTCAGTCTATGAAATGCATACATTTAAGTTTTTGTTTATCTGGCAGATTAGAAAGGTTTTTTATTCCTCTGTGGCAGGCCCAGTAAGCTACTAACTTGTCCAATAACTACTTTTAAAACCTCAGTTTGTTTATGAGAGCTTTACTGTTCATATTGTAGGTATGCATAAGGAAAAGAATTCAAAGTGACACCAAATGTGTATACATTAAATAACACTGTATTCCCATTTGGATTTGTGTAGCTTTTCTAAAATAGTTCTAGGTGCTCATCCAAAATCTGATGTGTTTCTGGATAAGGGGAAGATTGTTATACTAAGACCTTACATTATAAGACGTGGTTTGAAGTTTCAGAAGGTTTCAAATCTTCCTTTGCTAGTTATTCAGCAAATCCCAGAAGGACATGGGTCCTTTTTATACTAGTGTCCCCTGTGCACAGCAAGGGCTATACTCCTGATATGATATGACAGCCTGAGAAACCCTCTATTCCCCATCACAGCTGCCTGAATAACCCAGTCTTTACTAAGGTCTATTATTCCTGCATTAGAAATACTGGGTGAAAGGTCTATTCTATTATAATGCAAATGTCCAGTTAAATGAGTCATTTGCCCCTCAGATGAATTATCTAGTACCACTTTATAGACTACTTCTGGATTGGTTTTTATAACAACAAAGCACAGAGAGAATGTGTCAGAGGGAACTTGAAGGGAAATAGTAGGCTACAATTGTCAGTGTTGTTTACATGAAGCAAAGGCATTCTAAAAAGAGTCCTGATAGGGATGGCAGAGAGCTGGAACTCCAGGCCAAGGCTGTTTAATTAGATGCGTGATTTGGTCAGGTCTGCATCTTGATGGATAGTTTTTTCTCACATATTTTCCTCACATGTAAATGAACTCTTTACATGTCCTTTAAGGTTCATTTTAGTGCTGACATTCTGTGGTTCTGTCAGAGGAACTGAGAAATCTGAAGAATCTCAACATTTTTTTTTCTCTGTGACCAGTACAGGCATGCCAGGAGCAACCTGTGGGAGGATTTGTTGGTCTGTGGCATGGACCAGGGATTGGATTTTTGTAACCCTGGAACTTAGCTCATGACTGGTTGGAAACACTTAGTAGAGCCTAATGGAATGAGCAAATAAAGTGCTGGCAGGTGCCCTGGTAGTGTGACATAGAAAGCAGAGCAAAGAGTTGGGGCAAATAAGCCTCTTCCCTACAAGCAATTGAGAGCCACTGCCAGCTCTGTGACCAGTGGCCTGGGTTCTTTGGAGTCTTCCTCCCCTTCTAATAGAAGAAAAGGTGTGGATTTCCTTAAGGCTTTGTTGAAAGGTCAGGACTGTATGGTGAGCTGCACTCTTTGTCACCATGATTAATCAGGGATTTCCTCTAACAGTCTAGCAAGACAATGATGTATAAACCTGTACTGTGGACTGGCAAAAAAAAAAAAAAAAAGGGGGTGTGTCATAGCAGTGTGTGTATATAGGCCATAGGAGGCATGTACATCATTGCGATAACAGATGGCAGCTTTGTTATTGCTTTTGAGGACCAACTATGTGTCAGGTACTTAGTAGTTTTTTTTTAATATAAGGTTGGTGTGAAAATTGAGAACCCTTGAGGATAAATAATATCATTTCTACTTCAGAGTTGAAGGAACTGATATTTAAATAACTCATCTGGGGTTATGGACTCCCTTATGGATCCATGGTCTGTAAATTTACTTTTTTTTCCCCTTCAAGCACAATCTCTCATTCCTAGAATTTCAAACATTACAAATTGGTCCTGTCCATTCTTAACTTTCATACTATTGCCCCTACTTTGCCCAGAGAAGTTACTGTGTGTGTGTGTGTTTTACTGAGGATTGAACCCCTAGGACCAGGGCTAGGATATATGCTTAGCAAGTGCTCTACCACTGTGCTATATTTCTAACACCCACCACATTTTAAAAAATGTTGAGACAGGGCCTCTCTAAGTTGCTTATGCTGGCCTCAAACTTGCAATCTTCCTGCCATACCCTTCCAAGTAGCTGGGATTACAGGTGTGTGCATCTGTGCCCAGTTTACTTAAATGTCTTAACATGTGAAAATTCAAATAGCTGGAAGGAACAGCTCTCTGGAATTAAATCAAGATGTCCTATTATAGGATTGGAAACATTTGGTCTTATTGATATTTTCTTCTCATATTCATAGATTTTCTTTTTGTCTTTTAAGAAATTTTTGGTACAACAAAACATCAGCTTTTAAATAATAGCCTAAAGGTTATTCAAGAGCAAATAACAAAATACTGTTTCTATAAAATAAGTAAGGATAAATTAATTAATTCTATGTCAGTTGTACCTTCCATGTTATAGTACTAAATATAGTATAGTTATTCTATAAGTTTCTGGGGTATAGGGATTCTAATAAATAATTCTGAGAAAGAAATTTGACTGCTTAAGGACCAAGTCCCCAGTCAAAGGGAGGAGAGGCAAGTATGAGAGGGAGCAGCTTTGTTCAGTGGTAGGAAGTATTGGCTGTAGAGGTGGGGTGCAGGTCATGGAGTGGTGGCAGCTTAGGAAGTCCTGGCTTCTGCCTGGTCAACTAACTAACTTTGTTCCTTCATTTTATTAATAAACATTACTTCTTTTCTCCTTTGCAATTCTTCATACATACAGAACTAAGAAACATTAATGGTACAGAGCAAATGTTTTTTGTTCAAAAAAATACTCCCTAACAAGTGGAACATTGCTTGATTTCAGCAGGTGGGTGACATCCATACAGGAAATGATCTCTCATTCTCTTTTTTTTCATGCTTGGGGTTTTGAACCCAGGGCCTCATGTATGCCAGGCAAGCACTTTACCACTGAGCCACATCCCCAGCCCTCTCATTCTCTTTTTATATTTTAATTTTTTTTTGAGACAGAGTCTCATTATATTGTCCAAGCTTGCCTTGAACTCCTCCATTTCAAGTAATCCTCCTGCAAGGTAGCTGGGACTATAGATGTGGGTCATTGTCTCTACCCGTCTCTTATTGTTTTATTCAGTAAAACCAACATTTCTCTAAGATCTTGTTTTAAAAAGGAGGAGGGGAACTTCTCTTAAAAATTCAGGCAGGTGAATGCTTGTAATTGCAGTAGCTTGGGAGGCTGAAGCAGGAGGATGGTGAATTCAAAGCAGCCTCAGCAACTTACTGAGACACTAAGCAACTCAGTGAGATCCTGTCTCAAAATGTTAAAAAGGGCTGGGGATGTGGCTCAGTGGTTAAGTGTCTCTGGGTTCATGCCCTGGGACAAAAAAAAAAAAAAAAAATATATATATATATATATTTTGCATGAATATAAAATGTCAAAATTGAAAATATAGTGAGCTATACTTTGAAAAGTGGCTTACTCGGATTCATTTCTGGCAGTCTTTCAGCTAAAGTGATATTATTATTTGAATATCATATTAATTTGGAGGAAAATGATATAGAATATCTTAACAATGTTTTTTGTGTTTGTTATTTTTATTTTAATTTCCATATTAAAAGTAAAATAAATTTATTAAGTTCTGTGAACAATTTCCAAGGCTCCAACCATTTTCAGATCCTTATTATTGTGCAAACCAAGGTTTAAAAATATGCAAATATTGTTATATAAATGAGAATACATATAACAGGTGTAGGATGTAAAGCTTAATCACAAAGACCCTAGAATCCCAAACCAGCCTTAAAACCTAGAATATTACCAATAACATTGAAGCTGTGTGTCCCTATTCCTCAAGTTCATCCCTCTTTGCTAAATATCAACTGCTATTCTGAATTTTATAATTTGGATTCTCTCTCTCATGCTTTTAAAATCATATCACATACACATACATTTAAAAGTGATCTGCTATTTAGTTTTTTAAAAATACTTTTTCTTTATATATGACAGTGGAATACATTACAGTTCTTATTAAACATATAGAGCACAATTTTTCATATCTCTAGTTGTATACCAAATATATCCACACCAATACATGTACTTTGGATAATAATACAATATTTTTAATCCATGATTATAGTTACATAACTTTTTTGAAAACCAGTCTTCAGCAGAGAAAATCACTTTGTGAACTTTCAATATTATTGGTATATTAATTTTATTAAGATCTTTGACTGTTAGGATAAACTAAGTAAATTTTTGGAAGGTGGACAGAATTAGAAAACAAATTTTATGTACGGAAATCATAAATGGTAAAAAGAGTTATAAATATCCTTACTGTTTTTGTATTCTAGATATTTGAATGGTGGTATTTTCGCAAATACGGAACATCGTTCATTGAACAAGTCTCAGTAAGCCACTTGCGCCCCCTTCTGGGAGGGGTTGACAACAACTCCTCCAACAATTCTAACTCCAGCAATGGGGACTCAGATTCCAACAGGCAGAGTGTCTCAGGTATGGAAAACTTATTACGAGATTATTATGAATATGAGATACCAAGAATCTGTTGAGGGTTAAGCTTCAGGAAAATATGAAGTTAATTTTCTGAAGGATTTGACAAATCTCTATCAGAAAAGTAGGGTGTAAGCATTCTAGGGAAAGGAAATGTTTATGTTGTTAATTTTACTTTTTCTCCCATTTATTTTAGCTAGTGGTCATTTATTTCAGTGTACTCAACCAGAGACTAACATCATTACTGGTAGTTTCTCAAACTTTAGTGAATGGATACATTTTCTTTTATGATAATTTGTCTAACTAGATCTGATTACTCATTTGCTTAAAAGCCTTGGTTCCCATTTCATTGAATGTAAACTCCTGTTCCTGATTCCTCAGTACACACAGCACAAGCTGCTTTAATCTATCTTGCCAACTTTGGTACCTGTCACAGACCATGCGCTTTCTCATGTGTCTACCTTGAAGCCACTTCATTTTTTGTACACACCATGTTTCCCATGATCCTGTGCCTAGAATGTTTTTTCCTGGGTTGGTTCATCCATCACTGTCCATCAGCTGTCACACTTCCTATGAAGCTTTATCTGCTAGGTGTACACTTTCTACTTTTATTCATCCTTCATATTTTTTCCTTTAGTAACACTTGTCAGACTGCATTGTAATTTTTAAGATGTTCTAATATCTTTAGCATTTGCACAGTATTTATTATATCTTTGCACTTCAATGAGAAGATGAGAGGATCTGTGCTTTCTCTGCTTGTAAAACAAGAGGGAAGAATACAACTCTGAACTGAGTCTCTTCATTGACTCTGTAAACATTTCCTAAGTACTTTGTAAGAACTTTTCTTTGTATTGGCTCTTTTGAATATTATGAAAAGTCAGTCCTTGTCCCAGTGGAACACTCTGCCTATTGAAGAAAACAAAGCCATAAGTGCTCTGATTGTAAGAGGGAAGCATATAGTGCTGTAGAAGACAAGGAGACCCCGGACCAAACTGGGAGAAGGAGATTGCTTCTTGAAGGCAAAGACACCAATTCTGAGACCTGAAGGATAAAGAAGTTGAAGAGTTAAACTAGATTTTTTTCATTCTCTGTTCAACAGCTCAATCCATATCTCATAACTGTCTAGCCATTGAGGAACATTGTACATATATTTTGTTGCCAATGTTGATTCAATACTCTTTTTAATAGACTCTTTGAATGGTGGTATTTTGACTGCTGAGAGGTACTAGGAAGCTTTCCGTACACATTATTTCATTCTAAAGGATACATGTGTGGGCATTGGCACCACCCAGGTAACAAAATTCTTTGGGACTTTGTAAACTCATCTACTTTGTGAAAGAAAGGGAAAGAGACCTGAGAAAAGTAAACTATTACTTTAACAGCTGCTCTAATAAATGTGGCTTGTTTTTCTAATGAGGAATCTTGATCTTTCAGTCATAATCATCATAAGCAGTTGTGGATAATCACTACCACTGTTCATCTGCTGTGAATGCCCCATGGATTAAAGGTGCTATTGGCTGACTCAAATTACTGTACACTTTGAGTGACACAGAACATTGTAGAAAATTATCACATTGAAAAAGAAAACATCCTTATTTAAGGGCATTCTTTATAGTGAATACATTTATATTTTCATTTGAGTCCTTCCTTTCTCTTTAGCCAGTTTAAGTCTTTAGATATTCCTTAATGCAATAAAGAGTTCATACTCTTCTTGTTACCACTATAATTTCACTCTCTTTCTTAGTGGATGCCTTGATTAAACTTATTCATTATGTTAATCTCAGTGATATTCTTCATAAAGGAGAACCTAAGCCCTTTTGAAAAATATATTCAGCCAGGCACCTCTATTCCCAAGTCATTGGGAAGATCCTTATTGGTGCCTATGAATTCTAGACCACTGAGCAGCCCAGTCTCAAAAATAAAACAAAAAGATTAAAAAATGTATTCAATAATAACTGTGGGAATTCTCAGTTTTATTTGTATCTAGTCTGTATCTGGCAAGAATTAACTTTTGATTATCACTCAATTACATTACTATTTATTGAGTTCCTACTATTCATTTCATATTTCCATTAATTTCCTGTATAATAGAGTATTGATGATCTGATTTTATAATGATGTTTAAATAATTACTTTTTAAAAATGAGAATTTCCTTGTCTAAGTATGTTTTGGGCTCAGTCTTCCCACCTCTTGATGTTTGGGTTACTAATATTTGTCTAATACTATCTAACATTTGTCTAACAAAGTTAACATTTATGAATGCCTTCCTTGCTTTATTTAGTTTAGAAGTAAACTGCTCTTTTTCTTTCAAATGTATAGTCTCTGATAAACCCTGCTGATACATCTTTCTATCATATCATGTTTCTCATTGCCTTTTCTTAATTCAGTGCTGTTTGTGAGCTGATGATGCATAGGGATTTAACATGTGGACTGCTCTGTCTGAAGGGAAGGGATTCTTGGAGCATAATAACATTATGAATTGAGATTTATGTAGGCATCTATTTGATAATTTACCTTTTTCTCAAATAAGTTGCCATGAAGACAAAGATCTGCAGCATTCACCTTCTTCCAGATGCTAGGAAAAAGTACAAGGTGCTCTAGCACTCAAGCATCCTTGCCAAAGTCAAGTTTAAATCCTCAGAAATACTTTAATAGCATTTTGGAAAGAATTGGATCTTAGGACAAACTGTGATATAGTCATTTGGCTTCCTATCGCAAATTATCTCATTTTAATCTTACTTAATTTTCATAAGATAGATATTTTAAATTCTAAATATTCTAATGATTCTGAATTCTAAATAATTCTAATCCACATAAATATGTATATTCTGAATTTTAAATTCATTATATCACTAGAAGCAGTTCCAGCACTGATATAATAAAGGTAATAAATCAAAGCAACGGAGATGAAGAAACTTCTATATAGAGAAAAAATACATGTTAAGCTCTTCATAGATACCTATTTTTTTTCTCTCCATAGAAGTTTCTTCATTAAGCTCTTCATAGATCCTAAACTTTCATAACAACAGAATGAATGGTTTTCCCCCTAGGAAGCCACATAGTTCCAATAATAACCAACACTCTTGGTACCTGCTATCAGCTTTACATGATATTATTTCACTTAATCCTTACATCAACCCCATTAAGCAGGTTCTGTAATTATCTCCATTTTTTGCTTTGGGAAGCTGAAGTCATGGCCCAAAGTCACATGACTCGTAACCTGGACAGTCTTTCTTCAGAATCCAGGTTCTTAAACTGAAAAATTTAAGTAACCCTCTCCATACCCTCCTGGGTTTAAAAATGAGGTTTAATGTAACTATTAAGCAAGTAAAATCATGTTATTAAAGCCCTGTACTATAGTGCATGACATTATTGCTGAAGTGACATGGACCTAATGTTTTTTTTTTTTTAATATTTTTAGTTGTAGATGGACAAAATACCTCTTGTTTGTTTGTTTATTTATTCATTCATGGTGCTGAGGGGCTAACCTAGTGCCTCTTACATTCTATGTAAACACTCTAGCACTGAGCTATAACCCCAGCCTGGACCTGACTTATCTTTAAAAACAGCTCAGTGGCCAATGGTTGACAGCATAGCCTCTGAGGTCATACAGATGTGGCCCTAATCCTGGCTCCATCACTTTCACAGTGAGTGATCTTGGTCATGTCATTTAACATATCTAAGCCTGAGTATCTCAATATGGAAATATGGGAATAAATAATATCTACATCACAAATGTAGTTTGGAAATAAAATGAAGCCCATGCAGAAGTATCAAGTCAGAGGACAGCTGTTTGGCAGTGTCTCCCAGATAAACTGAGTTCTCTATGAATGTGTTGAGGGAAAATGCCACAAGCACTTGAGGATGTATCTGTGGGGTCAGCTGGGCTTATTTGCTAGCTCAGTCACTCTTTTACATCCATGGATTTGAATCTTGCATTTCAAATATTTCCCTCTGCAAAATTGCAAATTGCCACGTGTCAATGACCTTTGGGATTGTTCTTAGTAGCTCAATGAAGACAAACTCAATCTGTACTAGCCAAAATTTATCGCATGTCTTGAAAATAATTGTCTTTGCCAATGCTGATTAAAGCTTTCCAAAATCTTTGCCAGTAAAATTTATGTTTTATTATAGATTAGATTTTTAGCTAAATGGTAAATATCCTAAATAGTTTTAGCTGCTGGCAAATTTTTATTTAATGAACTTATTTCACAATTTCCACATTATTTGTTAGAGTGGATTGACTTAGGTCAGAAATGACCAGTGAGAAATAGATGACAGATAAAATTAAAGATTTAACTATCTTGGTAATATTCTTGAAGAAAGTAATATGCTATCTTGAATAAAGTAGGTCAATAAAAATGGGCCCTTGCTTATTTCATTAAAGAATTTGAAATAGTAACATATTTGTTGAATTAAAAGCTATCTATATGTTACTTTGTGCCTTTAGTTCTAATCATTTTTTCAAAATGATTATTTTGAAATGTGAAATATTTAAAACAATTTTTTTTAATGAAGACTTTGCTCTTAAGGATTTCTTATAATTGATCTGTATGATACAGAGGATTGGGTATTCATGTCTGAGGTACTAGAATAATGAATACAGGCATAATCACATGCCATAAATTAACTTGGGTTAATTTGAGGATTGAAGTACAACCAATGATATTGTACTTTAGACCTGAAATGCTTAACGGTATTATTGAAGTGACTAACATTTGCCCAAAGGAGTTTTCAAAACTATTCCTCTAATGGAAAATTTAATTAGGAAGTCACAGGATTTTCAAATATGGTGTTGCAGGTTGACAGTTTTATTGCTTATCATAGGTAAAAGTTGAGGAGTCTGGACATCAGGCATTTTCAACTTATTTGCTGTGGACCTTTGGGATACTATCTGGCTTTTCAGTATTTTACTTTTGTAAAAGGGGTCTCACATATGCCTCTCACTAATTTGGGTAAAGGGTAAACATGACTTGTACTTTAAGCCCTTTTGTAGAAAGGATCAATGACAATTAAGCTTATAACTCTAACAAAAATTAGTACTACTGCTGTTTATAATATTGTCAGATTTGAGATTTTGGGGAAAAAGTCGTCAGTTTTTATTATAAAAAATCTTTCTTTAGTTCCACTCATGGAGTCCCCTTCTCCTCTTTTCCTCTTTATTTTGCTCTTGTTTCTGCACATGAGAAAAAAACATTTGACCCTTAACTATCTGGGTCTGGCCTATTTCACTTGGATGATGTTCACCAGTTCCATCCATTTACCAGCAAAGGCCAAAATTTCATTCTTCTTCATGGCTGAGTAAAACTCCTTTGTGTATAGATACCATATTTTCTTTATCCATTCAGTGGAGTAGCTGAAGGGGATTGAGGGCAAGGAAGGAGGTACAGGAAGAAGGAGGAACTGCAGAATGAAACTGAGCAAATTATGTTATGTATGTATATGACTATACCACAGTGAATTTCATTTTATGTGTGTCTATAAAATACCAATTTAAAAAAAAATAGAAGGAAGAGCAATGGAATAGAGGAAGGGAAATCAGGGAGAGAGGAGAGGAAGTAAGAGGAGTACTTGGATCTGAAATGGAGCAAATTATATTCCATGATTTTCAAAATGAATTTCACTATTATGTATAACTATAGTGAACTAAAAAAGATATTAAAAAAGGAAATCTTCCTATGCTATAATTAGTATTTTATATGTTTTAAAGCTCTCTATCATTTATTTTTATTTTAGAAAATGTTTCAAGAGTTAAGTTGGACATAGAAAATTAGTTTTTTCCATGTGATTAAAAGTCCTATGACTTTGAGCCTTTTGTCTTTTTTGAGAATTGATTTCCTCTTTTTATTGAGGACTATGAAAAAGAGGAAAGTCTGTGGTTCTTTCAGAAAACTTAGTGCTTTTATAGAGCTTCTTTTGGTGGGATGCCAGGTAGTGGCTCAGTACCCTTTGTACTTTCCTGCCCAGGCTAGATGCAGATACAGTCATAAGCTGTATCTGCATTTTTTTTTTAATACTGGGGATTTAACCCAGGGAGTGATCTACCATTGAACTACACCCCAAGCCTTTTCTTATTTTTTATTTTGGAACAGGGTCACACTTAGCTGGTGAGGCTGGCCTCAACTTGTCTCCCTCCTGCCTCAGCCTCCCTACTTCCTAGGATTGCAGTCGGGCACCACCACACCTGGCTATATCTGTTTTTGCAAGTCAGGGCCTAGTGCAAGTGTTAATGCATAAAGAATAAGAGAGTATGAAGTAAGTATGATTGAAGTGAAAAGTTTTAGTAGGAATTAACCCTACTAAGTAAGTTTTTTTTCCTGCAAGCTTGCTTTTAGAAGTCCTTAATCATACTAAGAATTATTTTTAGGTGTTCTTTCTCTCCCACTCCAAAATTTATATGTGTCCTACTTTGAGAAGGGAATGAATCTGCTCTGTAGATATTGGAAACTAAACAGGTGCTATTTCAATGCTTGCTCGTTTATCTCTCTTGAATTGTATTCTTGCATGCATATTGTGGTCACACATTTCTGCCAACAGTTATGGGTAGAGATTGTACTATGGACGCTGCAGATGGAACTGGGGAAAGCATGTTTTTGTGTCAGGGGCTTATTTATAACTAAACTATTAATGACATTAGTAAGCCCTTGTTGGGGTCCCAACCAACATTTATTGCTTTCCAAGGGCACTAAAAATGTGCATGTTGATGGAAAATTGGAGAATGTAAAATTTCTTTTGGAGGTAAAATTCTAAATCTGATTTTACATAAGGAATTTGTTTCTCAAAGTACATATAAGATAAGAAACAGGACCACATGTGGAAAAACTCTTCCTGTTTCGAGATCTGAGTTTAATTTCTTCTCTTAAATCTTCATACTTTAATATGTTTGGCATTTACACCCTTTGTCCGTATCACTAAACCACATCAGGCAGCCTTATATTTATGTGGCATGTTCCCTAGACTGATTCCAGACTAAGAGTTTTTGTAGTAAAGATAAGATGATGGAACAGAACAAAAAAGAAAATGCACCGGTCTAATTTAAAGCAAAACTTTGATCTATGTTAATATATGACCTCTAGATTGCTTGTTTCTTAAAAGAAAGTAACCTGTCCTGCATCTTCAATTTAAAGGTTTTAATTTGTGAAGATATTTCGTATGTACTACATTATGTATATTTTCTTAACATTGAACAGAGCATATCTGTTTCAGTTATTTAGATCTTCATTTCTAAGTTTCAGGGACAGTTAAAAAACGGCATACAGGATACACAGGACACCAATATCAACAAGGATTTTTTTTAAAGTTCAGTTCTCTAACAAGTCATGAAAGCAGTATTTCATAGTGTTTACTGCACCCCCTGCTGGCCACATAATGGTACTTCCTAAATAAAAATAATGTCTACATGCTGCTCAGTGAACACTTTAAATACACACACACACACACACACACACACACACACAGAGAGAGAGTTTATCTTTAGAGTTATTTTTGTTTAGACTTTAAATTTATACTTTAAATTTATACTTTAAATTTCATCTGATATATAATAGATTTGAAACTTTAATTGAAGGCAATTTTCTTTCTAATTTGCCAAATATTGTTTGAACAGTGTTTATCCTTCTAGGCTGTATAATAATGTATTTGTTTGCCATAGTCCATTTTACTGATATTTCAGATAAAATTCAATAGAGAGGAATCATCTTCCCACATATCCCTATTTTTCTATTGTGAGCATCCTTGTACATACATCTCTGGGTATATTTACTATATGCTGACCACAAACTTATAATACTTGTGAGGCTTTGAGATGAGCAATTTGAATCATGAAAGAGTTTTTCTGAGGAAAGGTTGGCAGTGGTGAGGTCCAAAGAGTTACAGCAGCCAGAAGGACAGAGATCATGTTGTTTGGCTCACCAGTGTGTCTCCAGCCATGATCTGGAGTCAGTGTGTTCATGACCCCTTTGTGAGGCTTTATGTTTGAAGAAAAAATAAGTATTTAAGAAAAACATAATTTTTATTTAGTGCCTCATAAACTGACAGCCAACAAATCTCAGTTTTTCAAGAGCAAAATTCAGAGATACTGCACCAAGTGAGGAAATATAATTTCCTAAACGGCAGGTTAGTCTAAATGACAAAAAAAAAAAAAATTAGGGTCATTACTTAAAAACATTAAGCAAATTTAAGCCTGATTTAAAGGCAAATGCATCTTCTTTAAATGAAAGCACATGTTTCTGTTATGTGTATACCCTTCATTTGCTATTTTAAAAAATATTTATTGAGATGATACTGCTTTATGCCCTGTCATTATCACACTGTATTATAGTTGATGTTTTACTCAATAACCCCTTGGTGCTCACATCAATGCCCATGGGATAGATGAAAGGTCAATGTTAGATGTGAAGGACTGAGGATAGAACCCTAAGTAATCACCATGTGGTCTTTAATGTTTTTTAGATTTCTGCAATAATTTTGTGTGCATATGTCTTTGGATGTGCTTTTCATTAATTTTACACACACAGAGACACACAGACACACAGGTATTTTTATTTTCTAATAAAACCATATTCATCCAAAGAAATATGTTATTATGGATCAGTAGAAAGTCTTAATCACAGGGTGTTTTAAAAAATTGGAGCTTAGTAGTCACACACTTACTGAAACACTGTCTTGAAGCTCCTGATTGATTTTCTAAGTCAAAGCCCTATAATTATAAATTTCTGTGGTCCTTGACCAAGAGATACAATCTCTTAGTAGCTAACAACAAAGATATTACAGTTATGATTAGCATGTGTGTCTGAGTAAGTAAATGATGTTAAAAATGCTTTAAAGGGATTTCTTTTTACAGCATTTTCCCTAAAATAGTCATAATTTCATTAATTTTCTTACTTTCCAGGAAGGCAAAGCAAACTGGTGAATTGTCATGAAATCTCAATTAGGAGTTTAAAGCTCTGTGTATTATATTTTAGAGCTGACATTTAGTTTGTAATGTGTGATGTTATTGTGAGACATATTTTAGAGCAAGAGAAAGGCATGTTACTTCTTCCTGTACTTTTAGCTTATAATTTTAGAAATAATTTCATAGAATCTGTTTAGATTTCTCAAAATAACTATAGAAATTATGAATTAGATGATTTTGTCATGTACTTTCATTTGGCAAATGAGGAAGTTTGGACCCAGAAAGATTAGGTGAAACTTGCCTAAGCCACATTTTCTAATTAACTTGTCAGAATTTTTCTACATAGTGTCCCTGTAAAGGATAGAAAATAAAATTATCTTATCAAATGACCAGGAAGGGTGTTTTGTCAAGTTAATTACCTTGTAATGTCACTGAACTTATGTGTAACATTTTCATATTTCTCTTTGTTTCAGAATGCAAAGTATGGAGAAATCCACTAAATTTATTTAGGGGTGCTGAATATAATCGGTAAGCATTTTGACAGCTTGGGAAACAAATGAGTCTGGTTCAGAGAGAAAAGACAGCAGCGAATGTTTTTGCAGGTTCATTTAGGGGTCATGTTACAGTGTTTAGTGCTTCCATTTTTTTTCAAAAATATTAAAATGTTTTGATTTTTCTGTTTCATAATTAGGTTAGCACAGGATTTGAGATGATGTACAAAAATGTACTGTTTTTATATATTTTCTACTACAGTCATTCGTTTCAGTATTATATTATGCAATCAAAACATTTTTAAGCTTACCTGGAACATGGGTATAAAGTACCAGACAGGTTATGTTGGAATTTAATTTAGTGAAGTAAATCAGACAAGTCAGAATTTTCTTTCGTAGCTTTGGGGAAATATCTATTCATAATACTAATTAGGGAAGGTTTTCAGTAGCAAGGACTAGTAAAATTTTAAGGCAAAAATAGAGAGGGAAATGTTTGCTTCTTTTCTGCTATATAATTCCTGAAGGAAGAACAAGATGATTTAAATTGTTTTTAAAAAATTTTCATTAGCAAAACCATTTTAATTTAAATCATAACAAGTTAATGGTTTATATTTCAACTCCTCTGCAGCTTACTATTTTATAGGTCTTGCTTTCTTCCCTCAGAACTGTCTGACTGTCTTCCTTCCTCTTTACAGGTACACCTGGGTAACAGGACGAGAGCCTCTGACTTACTATGACATGAATCTTTCTGCGCAAGACCATCAGACGTTCTTTACTTGTGACTCGGACCATCTGCGTCCTGCAGATGCAAGTATGGAAAATTCTTCAGATAGTCACTGGGAAAGAGGGTTTTTCAGCTTGTTTAAGAATCATAGTTTCTGCTTTTAGAATATCTGCTCTATAAAAGCCCAATAAATAAAATATTAAATTGCTGATTGACAGTAGAACCTAGAATTCTAATGCTTAAAGCTTTATCTACAATGAAGTATCAATGTAGAAATGAGGCTTATTATAATTTAGAACATGATTTAAAAAAATGTATCAAAGTTGGATGGATAAATTTTGAAAACATGTAAATCTTACCTGAAGCTAATAAAATTCATGGTTGAGATGGAATGGTCATATTGCCTTGATGATATTCTAACTAGAAGTTGGGATTCATGGAATCTAAATGATTAATGAATACATTTTAGTAACTTATATGCCTATTTAAGTCCCCTAATTTTGAGTGGGGATGTGGCCTTGCCTACTAGAGTCTGTATGTGTTTTCCTTCCTAGAGAAACTTGGTTAAGCATGTATTTTACCCTGCTTAAGTTACAAATAATCCTGCTGATATAATTTGTATTGCTAAGCTTAGTCAAAGTAAATAGGTGAACAAAAGCTTCTTAAACAGAAAGTTCTATATGCCCTTAAAAAACTGACTTATACAATACAAATTTATCAAACAAATTAAGGAAGGAGATGATTATTCTTTGTTTTTTAGTTACTCTTTGCCATGGTGGAACATCATAGTATAAAGGTTACCAAGCATTAAGCTTCTTACAATATAGTCACACACTGCTTTGACATATAGAAACTAGATTTGCAGACAAAATTGAGGAATAAATACACATGTTAAGCAAAAGCCTAATGCACCTCTTACTGACCCAACTCCTAATTCTTCAAATGGTTTCAGAATGTTCTAATATCTAGATTCTGTAGCAAGTATGTAGGAAAATGACAGATAGAAATTATTTTGCATCTAAGTAGAATGAAGAAATTAGTAGCAATGGACATTTTAAAATATGTAAAATCATATGTATTCTCTTAATAAGAAATGATATTAATATGCTAAAGAAATAAAATCTGTTAGGATGCCTTTTCTTGATTTTTTCAGTCTATGAGATTTAGTTTTACAGTTATATGAGCACACAAAAAAGTTCAGTATCAGCAATGAAATAGAAAATTAGAATATATTTGTGTGACTTTGTAAATTTGGGCTGACCCTATTGGTAATGAAAGTCTCTTGTAACTTTAAGCTGAAAGCTATTAATTTTTATGTTGTTCTGTATTGAATCTTCCTAATTATATGTACTGATTGACTTGCTTTTTTCCTCTTTCTCTAACGTAGTAATGCAGAAAGCCTGGAGAGAGAGAAACCCCCAAGCTAGGATTTCTGCAGCCCATGAAGCCTTGGAGATAAATGAGTAAGTAGAGGGAAAATCTTGCTGTTAAAGAGGAACTTTCATCTTTTGCTTAATATATTTGCTTCCATTAAACTATGTATGACATTAGAGGATTATTTGGGGGATATTATTTTATAAAATTTTCTTTTTATGAAGGATAACCATGTGGAGGTGGTTTTAGTCATTTTAGAGAGCAGTGTAGTAGCTTTGTTTTAGGACCCTAAATTAAATCCTTTTAGGGATATTGTGACCAAATAAAATAAATACAGTTCTTTACATGTCTAAAATATTTTGAAAGGGAAATTTTTCCAGATGTAGAATGCTTCTCTGTACTATCACATTTTCCAGGTAGGACTTCCAGTAGTGGGGAGACATAATAAAGTCATAAGGTGAAAAAAATAACATTAAAATTATTTTACAATCAAGGCAAAAGATAAGAGGAAATGCTGTCCTTGGTGTTGTTTAACATGCTATGGGTTACCAAGGAAGGCTGGGAAATCTCTTCTGGAGATCTCAGAAAATGAGAAAGATTCTTAAAGTTAGAGTCATAAAAACTTAGGGTTGGCAAAGACCTTAAAGGTCACTTAGCTCAACCACCCATCTGGTGCTTGAATCACCTCGAGATTATCCTTGCCAAGTGGTCATTGTTAAACTATTTTATGATTTTTTCTGAAGAAGGTTACAGAATCTTCTCCAGAGGTCTTAAAGAGAAAAGAAAAAAGATTCACTTGAGACTTGGGAATTCTGCCATTGTAATCAGTTGATCTAGATGGTTTCTGATTCTGTCATGCAACATATTTACTTTCCACTTTCTTGTCATCTACAAATTTGATATGCCTGCCTTCTGTGTTTCATCATGTTTCTGAGCAAACTATCAGGGCCAAGAGTAGAACCCTGTGACATGACATATAGAAACTATGTTGTAGGTCCATATCTTCATGAGTCACCATTCTTGGTATTATTCAAATGATTACTGAGCCACCCAGTTATACTGTGATTCAGCCCATATTTTCCATTTGCTCTTAATGCCAGTTGTAGCTGTGGATCTTTAATTCATAATAAATCTACTACGAAAAACTATGTTAGAACAACTTATTTATTGTTAGGGAATTTAAGCTGGCTTCGAGTGGTTACTGCTTTCTTTTTAATGTGCTTGGAGACCATCTCTTTAATAATGAGAATATTGTTCCAAATTACTTCTCTGTAGTTTGGGAAGTTAGCCTTCTTCCCCTTTTTTGAAAAGCTATACTACATTTGTCATCTCATCTTCGAGTGCCTCTCCATTCTTTGTGATTTCTATCCTATGGAGCTATCTCCATAGGGAGCAATTCCATGGCCTGCCTGCAAGGTCTGTTGGTTTCCTGGGATTCATCCATCCCAATACAGAAGTTTGTTCAGATGGATCAGTTATTTGCTATCTTACATCTTTTTACTCATTTTAGAGTTTAATTTCTTTCCCCCTTTTCAGTCTGACAAACATTTTCCTTGATAGAGAAGCCAGGTGCAAGATGGGAGGGAGAGAGTGTCTGCTTTCTCTCTGGTATCTACTGCTGTTAAGCATGAACTTTCTCTGTGTTGCTGATGGTGTTTGTCTTTTTCTGTTGCTTTTTGTTGTGGTTTTGGAGAAGTGGGGATGGTGATGGGGCCTTAAATCTAATTTTAAAGTAGGGAATAGATAATTGTATTAGTTATTTTAAAACTGATTTTTGGTTTTGTTTGTTTGTGTGTGTGTATGTGTATGTGTTAGTGGTTTGTTCATTTTGTTTTTTTGTCTTTTTATTTGGTGGGGACAAAGCCTCAAATAATTTGGAGTTTTAGCACTCCTGATTTTATTCTTATGAATTCACCCCACTCTCTTGCAACCTTTCATTACATGCTCTCTTTCCATCTTTTTTTTACATGTCCTTTAAAAACTCTGACCTGGGAGACATCTCTGTGAAGCTGTGTTTTGGTTACTTATGTGCCACCCCTTTCTTCCCGAGAGTCATTGGTGATTATAGTTATATAGTTTTACATTTGGAAGCTGCTTAATCCTCTTAAACCATTTTTCCTTCTGAGTCTCATGCCATTAAGTCATGCCTCTTTTCTTTGAATTTTTTGAAGTCTACCTCCCCCTCTTTGATTACCCTGAACTCCAAAATGACATAGTGACTCTCTCTGAATGTTCCTATGGATTTCCATTTCACCAACTATTTTTTTCTTCTTGGTCAGAATTAGGTCCAGAGTTGAAGTTCCCCTAATTGCTTCCTCTACCATCTGGGAGATAAAATTGTTACCAAAGTAAGTCAAGAACCTGTTGGGTGCTCTACTTCTAACCAAATGAGACTTCTAGCAGACATCTGGATGGTTGACACCCCCATCACCACACTTTCTTGCTTCTGTTTGTGTATTGTGTTGTGATCAGGACGCATCATCTACCTCTTCCATTGAGCTGAGCAGTCTGTTCTGTACTCCCCAACCATTAGCACTTCTATTGCTCTCTCCTTTTTCCTTCACTCACAAGCTCTTAGCATGTTTCTATCCCAAACTCATGAGTTTCCACATAGATGTATGTTTCTTGGCCAGTAGTTCTACTCTGCCTCTCCTCCTAAGAATACTGTTTCAAATATAAATATGAGAAGCAAGCAAGCTAGCCCCAACCATTCTTGAGTTCCCAGCCCACCCACTGCAGCCTTAGACCCAATTCCTCCGATGCTCTATCTACCACTCAGTATTATAAGCTCAATTTTCACTTCATTACCCTTGACCCATATTTACATGTCGGCATCTGAAGCCTTAAGTATATCCTCTGATGCCTGCTCCAGTTGTTTTCTCCAGTGAATCACTGGACAGTTTCAGCAGCATTCCTGTTCTTTCTCAGTCATATATGCTGCCCTCCATAGTATCTGGTTATCCAGCTTTTTTTTTTTTTAATCCCCTTGGGCATTTTTTTTCGCCTTCAGTTTAAAACCAACTTAATAGTTCCTGCCTGAAAGTAGATGGGTTGACTAAGGAACTTACCAGACCCATCCTTAAGACTGAGATTAACTAGTGACCCCAAACCTCACATTAGCTGTTAAGTTCAGGCTCCTTTTCCTAGTTGGCTGTGGCAGTTAATTAATAGTAAAAATAACATTTGGTCTTACTTTATGTTTATTTTCTCTCTTGGGGTCTGATGGAGATATGCAGGAAAATGGCTGCAAAGAGGCAGTGGGGAAGAAGGGGGAGACTGGGTGGTGCAGATCAGGACCTGAGTGATCTGCTCTGGCCTCACCATTTCCTTACTACATTCCCTTCCTTGGAAATGGGTTGTTCCTTGTATGATTGGAAGGTTTAAATGTCCAAGAGTCCCACTTGTTCATGAGTTAATTGCATATCCTTTCTGGCTTCCTACCTTAGAGGTTTGTTGAAAGGATTATATGAGATGATACATGTTAAGCACCTGGAACAGTGCTTAATATATACCAAGCAACAAAGGGCAGCTAGTTGTCAAAAGCATGAGATTTAACTCTTTTTAGCTACGGTGGCTGAGTCAGATTTCAAGCTCTTTAGGAAAAAAACATTATATGTAGGTTTTTCTAGTAGTTTCTGAAGAAAAAAAAATCAGTGCTATTATGAGACATTGAAGCACTATTTTCATAAATGAGTAACTTGATTTAAGGAATTTCTCACTCTGATGAAATTCTTGAATTGAAGAGGATTTACATTTAATAAACAAAAGTAAACTTTAATGAAATACCTCTAACTTTCAGTGTCAGAAGGAGATACTTAGTAATAACTCTTATCCTCATCATTAGTAGCTGACATTTGTTGAGCACAAACCACATGCTGGCTACTGTACTGATGAGCACTTCACATGAATCCCCTTATTTAACCTTCACAATGAATCAACAGATTCCACATCACCCTACATCAGGGAGGCAGAGTAATAACTTGCCCAAAGTGACGTACTAATAAGGGGCAGCGTCCGTATATGAGCCCCATGCTCCTAACACTAAGCATCCTTCTTCTCGAGCTAAAATATAGACGTTTCCTTCGTGCCATTATTTTGTGTCAACAGCTACAAACAGGTGCATGAACCAGTTGGCCACTCTGCATGTTTTGGCGTAACTCCTTGCCCTTCTGCATGAACTCCTCCAGTCTGTGACCATGTCCTTGGATTTGTAATTGATGGTGGTTATTATCTAAATGGACAGGTGTGCAACTGCTTATATTCTCTTGGCTGAAGAGGAAGCAACAACCATTGCTGAAGCAGAAAAACTGTTTAAGCAGGCCCTGAAGGCTGGAGATGGCTGTTACCGGCGTTCTCAGCAGCTACAGCATCATGGATCCCAGTATGAAGCCCAACATAGTAAGGTTTCCTTCAGGCTGATGCATTGGGGTATCAGAATTGCAAATGATTAATCAGAGCAAAATTTCAGTGCAGTTCAAAATTTGATTCTTCTAGATGAGGACAAATTCTGGATTTTGCTTTTCTTGTTTTTTGTTTCTTCTTCTTATAAGAGTACAGTTAGCTTCATTACTCTTTACATTCACATTCTCTGTCTTGGCTGTAGACTCCCAATGCAAGAAATAGATGTCAGTAAACTTTAACAGTATTCTTATTTCGCTCCAGAATTCTTACATATTTCTGCTTGTCAGTTGCTTCTCACTTATCTTTAAGTTTGGAAACAAAACTTAAGTCAGTGTTAGTGTTATCAAAGTTTTTATATTATAGGTCTTCTATAGCATGGGATGATATAGGCCCATTAAGAATACAACAGTTATTGGTAATTATATCAGCATTTAAATTTTATTTAAGAAAATTTGAGATGATTTGTAGACAGAAAGAACCATGAGTTCCTAATTGTTAACTGTTTTTACATTAAAAACAACACATTCTTTTATTTAAGATAGCTCTTTAAAATCTGAATCCTTTCATTTTAGTACACTAAACTGAGAGCCAGTGTTATTTTGGAAGAAGAGTATAGAAATAAGAAAATTATTTCTGAAATTCCTTAAGCACCTGTCTCATCTTTCTTGGTTATTTAAAAAGAAATTCAGTGATTCTTGTGGGAGAAAAGTTTGTATGGTTTCACCAAAATTTACACTATTTCTTTAAGGTGGAATTTCTCACATCATTTCTCTCTCCTTCAATTTGGAGAGTAGAAGTGTACCTCCTTTCTACTTGAGATTATACAATTAAATGTTAATATTGAACTTGGATTTATTGTAGGTGCTGACTGTATTAGTCTCTATGACTAAGGTGCCAGTAAGATCCTTGCATTACAGTCTGTACATACATAAATATGCCCATAAAATCCACCAATACATAGGTTTTAATTTTTTATTCTGCAGTGAGTGTATATGTTAAGGAGGTCTCTAATTAACATTTATATCTGACTTTTTTTTAAAAAAGTATAACTCATTGCATTTTTGAAGACATGTAATAAATGTCTATTTGGTGAACTAAATGGAAATTAATATGTAAAATTACATAAACTGTGATACAACTTAAGAAATTTTCTTTCTTTTTTTCTCTAAATTAAATCCTTTCAACCTGTTGCCTAAATCTATCCAAAAAATATAATCACATCTTTAAAATAATTTGTAGGTCCTTGGCAGTTTTTCAGCACACATCTTGATCTCATTGTTTAAAATTTGAAATGTTCAGACTTGGTCTTAACATCTTTTAATAGCTGCATATTATACATGTACTTAATCTATAGCAGGTGTGTCATATTTTTCTCAAACATGGTAATTTTATTGAGGATTAAGCATATGCATGTTCTCACTAGTCTGGAAACATATCCAAAAAGACATATAATTAAATAAAAGATTAGGACAAGAAGTTGTTAATGTACTTTTTAAGGGCCATTTTAGTGACTATTGTTATAACTATTTAACTTGTCAATGCTTTCTCCAACACTAGGGTAGTTTTTCATTTTGGTGCATACTCTATTGTCATATCTGGAATGTGTTATATTGTCATCTAAAATCGACTGCTTTGGGGACCTGGAGATGATTATGATGTCACTAGTGTTAGAGAAAGAATAATATGAAACAGAAGTTCAACATGAGGCTTCTCCAGACTAAATGTCAAGAATAAAAAAAAATAGTTCATCAATATGCAACCTGGGATTCACCTTTTTTGCATTTTTACCAAAAGCATGTACACTGGAAGTATGTAGAACTCTTGCTTGTAAACCGAATGCAATGTGGGTATGTTAATTTTCCCAGCACTTTGTGACGGAAGATTTTATTTATTATCAAATATTCAGCATCCAAACTCAAAAGCGTGGATTTTGGTAACAAGTAAGATGATTTGGCCTTTGAGAGTCTGAGTTCTTTGACTTCATTCTGGTTCCATCCTGCCCTTAACAAAGTTAAGTTGCTCCTGGCACTAAACTAAGGAAAAGCCACAGGCACAATCTCTTCTCACTGAGGTTGTTTTTTTTTTTTTTTTTTTTTAAGGGCAAAGTAAATGACCCTCTGCATTTTTTCTTGCTGCTGAACTGAAACTCTTGTTTTTAAATTTTTGGTGTTTTATATCTCCCTATTCAGGACGAGACACCAACGTTTTGGTCTACATCAAAAGAAGGCTAGCGATGTGTGCCAGAAGGCTCGGGAGGACCAGGGAAGCAGTGAAAATGATGCGAGATGTGAGTTTGAATTTGTGTTTGGGGTCAGTGGCTGTGTGTGTGGCTGGGAGCTGAGGGAGCCAACTGAATAGACCCAGCAGAGGCAGCCAGTTATGGTGTGAGGGTCCCTGTGTGCCTGGACCAATTCCCAGCTGACTGGACGAATGACCTTAGACAAGTCACTCCAGTTCTTTGCCATTGTTCCTCATCTATAACATAACAATAAAAGTCTTCAAAAGAACTTAAAATTACTCTGAGAATCAAATGAAATAATTCATGCAAAGCTTTTAATGTAGTGACTGGCACATTAAAAAAATCAATAGATGTCCTTATTAAAAAAACTTTGGGACTCTAGCTGGCAAGCAGTAAGAGATCAGCCATTTTAATTAACTAACTCTTTTTGTGTGTAGTGGTGAGGAAGATTTGAAAATAGCTCAAATTGTTAAGTTCAGTAATATTATGAGTGTGTTCTTATGTAGTCATTTCAAGCATTTTCCTATATTCTTGAGAATCAGGGCACTTTATTACTTGTAGTCAACATTAGAATCAAGAAAAATGAAAGTAAGTAAAAGTTTGAGAACAAAAGAGAATCTAGGGAGGTTATTATTATGAAAACAAAACTAGTTTTAAGGGAAAGAAGTTAAAGAACTTTACTTCCATTTTGTTGTTGTTACAAAGAAAAACTTTCCTCAAAGAAACTGACACTGGTATTTCTAAGCCATTTCCCTTTTAAAAAACAATCTCAGAAAACCTAGATCAACATGTGATCCTTCTACTGTGTTCCTGAATTAGAAGACTTAGATCCTCTAATTCTGTCCATGGGGTGAGATCAAAGTGGCATCTTGCACATACGACTGTGCAAATCAGTGAGCCTTTTCTCAGCTTGTCTCTGGAAGGGCAATGTCTTATGGGAATTTTTAGATACTCTTTGGAGGAGGAAACTTGTGCTCAAGGCCCTCCCTAGTTATTTCTTCAAGTTACAGCACAATATGAAGGCCCAGGTGAGAACCATGCTTGGGTCTTCCCACTCCGTTAAGCAGCAGTGTAACCCCCAAATCTGAGGAAAGCATCAAGAGGAGGAAGATTATGAAGATGATATATGCTCATTCAGAATTAAATTCTTTTCATTGAAGAAAGAATTTAAAGAATGTTATATAGCATATGAGCTAATTTTAAGAAAAAGATTTCTGCAAATATGAACTTGCTCTCAAAATGAAATCCCTTGATATATCCATCCCTTGATATAACTAAGAAACGGTGCAGCCACTTTGGCTCTGCAGGAGCTGGGAACTTTATGATGGACAAGATGTTTCTCTCAATCTTGTACAATCACAGTCCACCTTTCTTATTACCTCTTTTTAACCTTATTACCTTAGAATAGCAGGCATACATGGAGGATCAAATATTTGTGATTTTATTTGTTTTATCCTTAAACAAGCTCAGAGAAAAACCAAGTTCTGATTACTTTAATTTCAGTTATTTCTATCAGTCTCATTCTGCTTATCATTTTCAGTATATACATATATAATTTCAGGATTAAAATCAATTTATCTATCTACCATGTATCTTCTGTTTTGTTTTTCGTTTAATATAACTTTATAATTCTGTTTATTGACCTAGTCCAAATATGGGTTTTGGGAGAAAGTCTGGGATGCAGTGAAAGAAACACTGGGCAGAGAGTCAAAAAACCTGGATATGAATCTCAGCTTTGCTTTTTACTGGCTTTGTGTCTCAGGGCAATTTAGGTGCCTTTTATGGCCTTTTTATTTGGTCTTCCATAAATTGGAGAGGATGATTCTTATCTAAAAGAGCAATTGATAGGGAGAATTGAATAAGATAATGTGAAAACACCTAGCATATAATAGGCATACTTAAAATATTTTCCCTCTATTTTTTAAGCTGTTCTATAATTTACTTGCCTGTTTGCCTGATGGACATCTTGGGATAATTCTAATATTTTTCTTCTTTTAATTAAAAAAACATTTTAAATGTATTTTTATTTTTATTTGATAAATAAGTGTCCCCCTCTCTGTTTAAACAACAAGCATGTGGTTAGGGACTGTGCCTGCCTTAGGTTGTCCAATACTACATATAGTCCTTACCCGTCATTGGATGAGCTGACCTCAAGGCGTCAGATTCCTGTCTTAAGTTGATACCATTGCAATTGGATCTTACCCGTCATTGACTACCGGTACAGCATATAGCCACACCTGTGGATAGGTCTTTGTACAAGCAGCGGCGGGTGAGGTTCTTTGCCTCACC